GTTTGGGTGACAGGAAAAGAAGGCGAATTTCTGATTCTGACGAACGAGTCCTTCTGCGATATAGATGGCGGCTGGTGAAAGCCAGGAATGTGTGTAGTACCTGAACTTTCTTCCCTCTGGCGCGGTGGAGCCACTCAGGAAGAACAGACTGGACTGCGGGTGATGCAGCCATTGCTGATACTCCGGTATTTCTATGAAGTGGCCCTCGTGTAGCTGTAGGTAGGCCGTATGAGGAACAAGGGTCGAGAATTTGAGGTCGTTTGGAAACACTTCCATGAGAACCTTCTTTACCGACGCAAAGTTGGTTCCAAGCAGCTCTGGGTGAACCTGGTCATTGTTAGCACTCTCGATACACAACAAAGTCTAAATTGCATAAACCCACTCTAAGACGCTCATGGAATTCCGCTAGCCTTTTGATGTCAGCCTGCCTGTCGCGTCGTTGATCTTCTGTCATCGCATCGGCAATCCTTGCTTGGAGTTCTTCAACTTGAAGGAGCAGCCGCTGCCTCTCCCTGTTCGCAACCTCGTTTTCTTCGAGAAGCCTCTGGTTGCCCGCCAGGAGTGTCTCGTTGTCAGCCAAGAGCTTCTTCCGGTCAAGTTCGGCATCCCGGGCGCTAGCTTCCAGAGACAACACCGTCGTTTTGATGGTCCGCGAGGTGTCGTGGAGCCCAAGCATAGCCTCAGCGCTTATCTCGGCGAGGGTCTTGTGCAGCCCGTTGACGATGTCATCGAATCTGGCGCTCGCCAAGGGGTTCACTGCGAGGTACGCGCGGTCTGCGAAAAAGAGGAAGTCAGTTTCAGGCCAATCACGCCCGGGGCAGCACCAAAGAGCATCTCGAGACCTACGCCAAAAGTTTGTAAAGTACTCGGCGGCCGCTCGGGAGAATTCGACGATGTTGAGGTATGCCTCCCCGACCAGCCGGCGCATGGTGTCGGTCGGATAGATGTCGTGCCAGACGTCCAACCTGGGAAAGGATTTGCGGATTTCGGCGAAATGCTCGATGATTCTTGTGTCATTTTTGCTCTTTTGGACGACCACGATGAGCAGTATCGACAGCGTCTGGTAACCGACTTCGCCGTACGGTGATCCGGCCGAGGCGAGTTTCTCCATGACCCCGTCAAACGCGCCGACAAACTGTGCGAAATCGTTCAAGCGTCGCTGGACGGCGCTGGCCACCATTTTCCCGCCCGCTAATCGCTCCTGCTGATAAGCGTCGTGGGCTTTGGTCGCACCTTCCACCTCCTGAATGACTAATGCGTTGGGCGGAGGTGAATCACCCCCGCCAAATTCCGAGATTTGTCGCTCAAGTTCATCTTTAGAGCTAGCAACACTGATGCTGTGCTTCTTCTCGATCCTCAGCGCGCGTACGAGCTTCTTCTTGAAGCTCTCATGCTCCCTCTTGATGACTTCGGCGTTTTTCTTGGCGTGCACCTGGCTGTAGCACGAGGGTTCTTGTTAGGGGGTTTCTTTCCAGCAGGCAATTCGAAGACATACCTTCCAGGCTCAAACCACTTCGCTGGCTCTCCCGACGCCATCGCCGAGGTCGAGTACTGCTCGTCACGAAATGAAGTGAGGTTGCAGCGCGATCAAGGTAGGCGGTCCCTCCTCCGGTACTTACGGGACACCCCAACCGGAGGCCCTTGACCAGAACCTGGCCACTGCGCCGCAGCTGCAGATCGAGAGGCGGGACAGATCAAATACAGCCTGTCGTTCGGGGGGGTCAAGTCCGTCTGTTGCATGGGACTAGCGCTGTTTCCCACCCAGCTTCCTGCATGGCTCTTGTGTCGGCCCAATCACGATCCGCCGTTATGCGTTTTTGGGGCAGTGCAACGCCATCAGGCGTCGAGTTCTTACCACCAAGGGGCTCGGTGGGATGTGAAATACCACCGATGTGATAGTAGGATTGGTCACCAGGGGTGGACAACGGTCAACCCCTCCTCCAACAAGCACGGGAAGCTGCAGGGGGAAGAAGCCTTGTAGGGCTTTTGGGCGCATAAAATGCCAGTCGATGTCGCCTTCGGCGGGCCTCGCGCGACATCGAGGTTGATGCCTGGCCGAGACCTTGACTTGGTTACCTACCCCTCACTTGCCTGGAGCACAAGCAATCCGGGCAGCGCTCGTCTCGTTTCTCAGTTGCTGGCGGGGAACAATGGCTTCACCAGACGCGACGGTATGTTCGACAACGCGGACATTTTCTTCAAATGGTTTCCATACTTACAAGTAGTAGGACCTCGCGTCCAAAGAGGCGACACTGCATCAGAAGTATATCGAGTTGCTGGAGAAGCGCGTGGCCCAGCTCGAAACCGTTGTCAAGAAGGACGAAGAGAAGCCCAAGACGACCGACTCGGCAGACCCCGACAAAAAGACAGACGCAGAAGCTGTGAGACACCTGTTGACCTGAACCTGCACTGGATCCTGACGGTTTGGCAGAAAGCAAAGGAAGAAAGCGCCGAGGCCGAGAATGGCGGACGCTACCGCAACATCCTGAGGAGATGGGACAAAAATGCAGGTTCTCATGTTGACCAAGTTGTCAGCGCAAACTTCTTCCTGAAGCCGCAAACCAAGGATGTGGCCTATACGTTCAGGAGAGTGTACGATCCGGACACCGGCGACAAGGGCGCTTATAGTGCCCTGGATATCGAAGACCCGACCCTCATCCGCGTGCTCAAGGAAGAGATCGGCAAATACCCTGGCGTCAACTTTGACTCTGATATTACCAGCATGAGAGGGCCCTTTGCCGCTCTGATTCACAACTGGGACAAGCTCAACAAGAGGGCGACCGTCGACCCTGAGTCGCAAGTGTCGAAGGACTTGGTCAGCCTGTTGGATCGGGTCAAGACGGCACCAGAGTTGCAGGACTACTTCAAGTCCCGGGACTCGAACCTGGCCGCCAAGGTTGTTCTGTTCGACACACTGTGGACCAACTTTGCCCCTGGCACGCTGGTTGTCGCCCGGCTGTTCCAAAATGAGGAGCAGATCTTCAAGGTCGAAGACTCACCCATCCCCTGGTCTTCCTATCATTCCTACCGGCACCACAAGATGTGGGCCTGGAACTGGGACTTTGACGGCAAGAAGCTCTTGAAGGTTGAGTATGCTCTCAAATTCGAGAGGTTCAGGGGCACAAAGCCGATCACAGAGCTGCCCTTCTACCCGGTACGTGATACCTAGAACTCTCCAGTCATTCCTGCAATATTTCCTCACTGTTCCACGTTATGGCCTGGGGCTAACTAATACATGCATTAAGCTTCAATACCATAGCGATCCGGATCGACTGAAGGAAGAATCTCGAGCCCGGGCTTTCAAGTTCATCAAGGCAACTATTCGATGTAACCGGGGTGCAGAGCAAATGTTCCGATACAAGGGTCTCGCCTATGCCGACCAAAGGAACCTCCTATCCAACAAGGATGATAAGTTGGCGCTTGTAGGTTCTCTGTGGGCTATGTGGAGCTTTTGGCACTGACGAAAGCCGATAGGAGGATGAAGGACTTGACAACCGACCACAAGAGGACGAGGAGTTGCCCCCGCCGAAGCTGGTAGAGGTATGTTGGAAGTGCCTCCATTCCGCTTCAATCTTTGCCTAACGCGCTTTATCACAGATCAACGGCGAAGTTCTTGTCGACCATGATGCGTTCATCCAATATGGAGGTGGGTTGGCCAATCTACTTCAATGCCATGCTTTCTGACATCTGCTGCAGGCACCAGTTTACCGCCCCTTGGAGAGCTATACCAACAAGACGTCGTCTTCATCGACGAGCTGCTTTTGACGAACAACGAGGAATATGTGGAATTTGCCGACAAGGTCAAGAGGATGGACCTCAAGGCCCCCATTGATGCCGCAGATGATAACTTTGTGATCTTTCCCCCGCGAGTCTTGGGCTACGCCACCAGGGAGAAGGTCTGGGGTCAGTTCGGTCTTGGATTGATGTCTGATCGCCCAGAGAGGCAGCCCGACAAGTTCGATGACAACCTTCAGCTAGACCCGAAGTACAAGAACCTCATCAAGGCTCTTGTCCAGTCGCATGAGCAAGCTTCCGGGCATAGCGGGACACAAGTCGAGGACGTCGTCCAGGACAAGGGGAAGGGGTTGGTCCTGCTTCTGCATGGCCCTCCCGGCGTGGGTAAGACACTGACAGCTGAGACGATTGCACAAGCCACTGCAAAACCACTGGTTGTGGTCAGCGTCGCCGAGATTGGTCTTGATGCGTCTCGTGCCGAGCGGAACCTGGAGAGGCTGTTCAAGCTGGCGACAAAGTGGGAGGCTATCCTACTCGTTGACGAAGCCGACGTGTTTCTCGAAACGAGAGGATCGACCTCGAGTGCCTCCCGCAACGCTCTGGTGTCGGTTCTCTTGCGAGTACTGGAGTACTATCGCGGCATCATCATCTTGACGACGAACCGGATCAAGTCCATCGACGTTGCTGTCATCTCCCGCATTCACCTCGCGATTCGCTATGATGACCTCGACGTTGCCCAGATGCGGTCCATCTTCAAGTACTTCCTGGACCAGCTCGAGCCCGGCTGCATTGCCAATCGCGAGGGCATCGACGATTTCATCGAGTCATTTGGCCACCATTACAACTTGAATGGTCGGCAAATTCGAAATGTCGTCTCAGCGGCATTGGCTGCGGCTCGTCACGAGGCGAAGGCTGGCGGCAAGGACGGGAGGATGACGTTCAAGCATCTCAAGTCGGTGTGTGAGATGACGAGAGACTTCCAGGAGCAGTTGAAGGAGAATACGCGACAACAGCGGTACAACAATGAGGCGATGCGTCCTTGATGCGAATTTTGACCGTTAGACTGCACGCAAGAGAGTCTTCGCATCATCCATTGAGCCCGAAAAGAGCTATTGTGATTGAACGTCATGGATAGGTACTCACGCCACATTGCCCAGGTTTCCAACTATTGTCGCGCGTTTCCACGAACTCAGGGGAGTTGATCGCCCCTTTTTCGAAGGGGTCGGGGGTAAGTGGGGAAAATGGGGACAAAAAATAAACATTGAAGGTCGTGCCCGGAATCGAACCGGGGTTGCCGGAAGTTTCTAATGATCAGAATCCGGAGTGATAACCGCTACACTACACAACCTGTGGAGTTTGCTTGGTGCTTGACGGGAGTGGAGTGGTCCTAATTGCCTTCTTGTTTGGACCGCATTTACAGCAGAGCAGCAAACTCCGAGTCGCAATAAATGGATCTGAACGGAATTGAACAACGTAGATTTTCGGAGCAGGCAACGAGTAATTAGAACTGCACTTCAAGAAATCCTGCTCACCTGCGAAAATTTCTGCAAGGGTTCTAGATGGAGCGCGTTGCAATGCGCCGGACATGATGGGAAGACCCCCGGAACAGGGAATCCGTTCCGTCGCGACCTACGCGCGCTTGACGCATCCCCGGGTCCGATCATCGTCGACATGCGACTCGCGTCTGTACGCATACGGCGTGCGGAAAAGGAGTGCAATCTCGCCTCGACTCCCCGATCCAGGATTTCGGCGACCACATCATTCTGGTCTTCAGGACGCAGAACGCTTCAGCGTGACTGCGGCGCGGTGAAACTGCGATCAGTGCCACACGGCGTTCTTCCTTTGGAGCTTGATCGCATTTGGCGCGGCGCGTTGAAGGAAGAGATTATGTTGGGGCAACGCTCGACTGGGGTTCCAGAGACGTTTTACATCGCGGGAGAGGCGTTGGAGAGAATGTGGAGGTGGAAATTGGATGTGGGGGAGGCGCGATGTAAGTCGTGTGAGTTCTTGGCGGTTGTGCCCCCGTTGATGCAGTGTCTGAATGCACGTCGCCATCATCGGAACTTCGTATACTGTGCAGGATTGCGACCACAGCGCTTATCTGGATAATTTCATGTCATAGGTAAATATAGCAACAGACTTACCTTACCTACAGCCCTATGCCGTATCACCACTCCTTGACGAAAAAAATCGGTGCCTTGACCGGCCTCAGTTACGGCTACGACGTGCGGCAGGCAGTGCGGCTCAGGGAATCGACTGATTCCTGGGTAAAGGCAGGCAAGCTTTTTTCTCTTGCGCTGAGCTGAAAGAGCCCCTGTTTTGAGTTCTGATATTGCTGCACCGCCCCATGTCGTCTCGCATTATAGTGCTGACGGCGATCTGCCCGAGTGCTGTTGTGGCTGCGGCCCGGAGGGTTTTTACGACGCCCCAATTCGAGGTCTTGGCAAACTGGATCCAGGATGAGAGTTCAACGAAAACATTTGCTTTCGGTACGCATTGGGCATCTGGCAGGCGATTCTGGCTTCGGCTGGATGCTGAGAGGACATCATCGTCAAACATTGAGGCATGCTTGAGTCTGCAAACTACTGATATGCTTCGAGAGCGCCGCATTCAGGTGTGCCGCGGGCATATGCAAACGGGCTGAAGAGCTGTCAAAATAAGGTGTGTCGTACCCTAAATTTCAGGGGCAGGCACTCCTGTGGGTTGCGACATGGGACGCTCACTTCGGCGACCCAGCTTGAACAGCTCTCACAGATTACTCAGACGCTGACTCGACCTCCCTTCCAATCCAGATGCTTTTCACCGCAATGAACGTCGAGTGACACACTCCAAACCCAACTTTCGGAACATGGGGTCTAGACCCAGCCTGCAGGCAACAAGATTGCCGGGCTCGGCGCGCCAAGCCGCGGGCTGAGGACCCTGCCTTGTGGGGATTCGCCAAGCAGTTGCGCCTCTTCTCTTTTACCCAAGCAACATGACGAGGTCCGAGCCGCGGATTGGCCTGCTTCGCACGAAGGGGGCCGTCCTGCATCAGTCTGGCACGACCTTTGCATCTTTGCTGCAAGCCACAATACGGCAAACTGATAGCTTCTCGATGGATATATCAGCGGCAGTTCGCCCGCCTTCATCTAGTGTGAGGCGCATCTCATATCTCTTTGAACGACAAGCTCGACGTTCCTTCCTTCAACAGCTCTTTTTTTCTCTTCGATTCTCTCTCGATACCACCTTTCAACCACCACCAACTTTTTTCCTTTACCAACCCAAAGCCAACCCGAACCACCACAATGACCACCGCCCCCTTCATCCGCCGGGAGTCGTCTCCCTTCCTCAAACGCATCCTCATCCCCTTCTGGATCCTCCGCATCATCATCCTCGTCGTCGGCATCGCCATCTACGCCCTCACCCTCACGGCCCTCATCGTCTTCACCGATGACATCCTCACCTTCGAAAAGGACTACGACACCCAGCTGACCCTCACGACCGCCCAGGCCGTCACGGGCGTCATTATGGGCCTCCAGTTTATCTGCCTGATTCTCGAGCTGGTGTGCATCGTCAAGCGCGCGAGACGCACGCTGAGCCCCAAGTTCTTCCTGGTGGCGAACGTGCTGCAGTCGCTTGTGATTGTGGTGATGTTTGCGTTGTCGATGGTGGGGGCTAGGACGGCGGGGAGTATCGGGATTTCGGTTGCTATTCTGTGAGTTTCTCCCTACTTTTTTCCTGCTGGTGGTTGCAGTTTTTTATCGAGGAGGAGCACAGGAGCGTTTTGCTAACATCGGTTCTTACTTCAGCATCATCTTCCTCGTATTCCTTGTCTACGCCGCCTTTATCTTCCACAAGTATCGCAATGGCAAGCTTAGCGGCGATGTCGAGCCTGGTATGGCGCCTGTCAAGGGAGCCCAGTAGGCATTTCTCGAGACGATATAGGGGTGAGGGGCTCCGACCATGGCTGCGCGCAGCAAGTCTTGATTCGAACGCACACACAAACACATGGCTGGGACGGGAGTTGGATGTGGCGCACTCAAGGAATCTGACGGCGTTGGTATTTACTTGACAAAGTATACACGGTGTTTGGCGCGATGTGAAAGAGCGACTGACTTGGTCCTTGAAATCTTTTGTATTCATTCAAATTTAACCGCAATACTTTCGGTGCTTTCCAAACTTCTGACTGTCGCCCGGGGTGTCTACCTCGCGCATAACACCCCGTACTTCTGGCGTCAACCTCTTCCCAACCCCAGGCTACCCCTTTTCTCCAATGGCCAAATCCATGTCGGAAGCCCCTTATTCCAACATCTTCCTACTCAAACTGTATCTAAGCCCCGATGAACTCTGCAATATCCTTATTCACTTCCTCAGTGCAGATGTTGGGCAAAGCATGGGGCCCACCCGGATAGACCTTGAGTGTCCCTTGCGGCAGTAGGTTGATGGCCTTCTTCGCTGAGGCCCCGATGGGTACGACCTGGTCGTCGTCGCCATGGAGCAAGAGAACAGGGATGTCCATTTTCTTGAGATCCTCGGTGAAGTCGGTCTCGGAGAACTGCTTGACGCAGTCGTATGTTCCCTTGAAGGAAGCGATCATGCCTAGAACCGAGGGTATTAGCACTAGTCTTGGTGGTTTGCGTGTCTAGGGTATGCATACCTTGCTGCCACCAGCTGTAGATCTGCCCCTGGCTAGTCTGGGCTCCAGGACGATTGAAACCGAAAAAGGGACCCGTCGGGACCTCGAGAAAAAACTGCGAGCGGTCCTTGAGCATGGCTTCACGGAAACCGTCAAAGACGGAAATCGGGATGCCGTCTGGGTTGGACTCGGTCTGGACCATGATCGGCGGCACGGCACCGATCAGGACGGCCTTCTTGACGCGGGCAGTTCCGTGACGGCCGACGAAGCGAGCGACCTCGCCGCCGCCGGTCGAGTGGCCCACCATGGTGGTGTCCTTCAGATCGAGGTGCTCAAAGAGCTCGTGTAGGTCGTCTGCGTAGGTGTCCATGTTGTTCCCCTCCCAGGGCTGGGAAGAGCGGCCGTGGCCGCGGCGGTCGTGGGCAATGGCGCGGTAGCCTTGGCTGGCGAAATAAAACATCTGGTTGTCCCAGTTGTCTGAGTTCAGTGGCCAGCCGTGTGAGAAGGTGATTACCGGGCCATTCTTGTTGCCCCAGTCCTTATCTGCAGCGCCTGTCAGTGATACTTTCTGTCTATGTTGTTGTGTACCCCCAGAGATAATATGGGTTCGAAAGAACAAAAAGAAAGAAAAATCGATCAGTGGGGTTGTGAACCTACAGTAGATCTCGGTACCGTCGTGGGTGGTGAAAGTGGGCATGGCGGAGAACAACTCGTGGTGTCTTACAATGGGGATCGGATTGTTTGAATGACGATGCGATGTCGATGTGCCAAGATGTTGAGATTGTCGGATCGAAAATACGGAAGTGAATGTGGTGGTCGCGTAGACGTCTTTATATCAGGGAACGACGGCAATCCAAGGTCGCAACTCAGATTTAGTTCCACGGCTTGTCTTCGGAGAAGGCGAGTTGCTCAGTAAGCCAATGGGTATGCCTGAGAGGTTGATACCGAGGCAGTTAGACGAGATGGTCCACTGATGCCCAGCGGTTGGCTTTCCGGATTACCTAGCGTCCTGCAGCAGCACCCCCACTCCCCTCCCGCTGTCGACTCTTGGCAGGGCAGCCCGCGCAGCCAAGATCGCAACCACGGTTCCTTATTGATATGCACCTCAGTTTGCAAAAACGCATGCAAGACTATCTCATCGGCCATGGCTACCAGCTTCCCGCCTACGCGGTGGAAAACGAAATATCAGCTTGTTGAGACCTCTCCTGAAGTGCAGGGGGCATTCAGTGATTTTTTGAAGGCCTTCGTGACTATCCGAGCGCCTCTGATCTGCAAAGGACGATGCGTTAGATCGGTTCTTTTCACCGCATGCCATCCTCAAACGGCCATCTAGGACCCGCAACCAGGACGAGTTTCGCCAAGCTACAGTCGATAGTTCCTGCCAGAGACAAATAGCGGAATCTTACGCACCCTTAGTTGCACAATGTCCTGCCCGACCTATCAGGTGGGAGGATCCCAGTGCTGAGTAAGGTAATGCCGAAACAACTGAGCCGGGCCTAGCAATGCACAAGACCTGTGGCGGCAAACCAACGGCGCTGCCGAGATTTTGGAACACGACGACGGGTCAAGAAAGTATTTCCTTCCTTCTCTTACACATTTTGCTTGGCCGGGTATCTGCACTTATTGGGGCACCTAGAGATGGGCGGGCAGGAACCGTCAGCATGGCATAAGGTAACCTGAATAGTCCAGCAACATGGTGCACGCATGTGAGTTATAATTAGACAGACACGCAC